GGACCTTGTTCGGACCTTGTTTGGTGCCGGTTCGGACTTGTTCGGACCTTGTTTGAAGCCCGTTCGGACCTTGTTCGGACCTTGTTTGGTGCCGGTTCGGACTTGTTCGGACCTTGTTTGAAGCCCGTTCGGACCTTGTTCGGACCTTGTTTGGAGCCGGTTCGGACTTGTTCGGACCTTGTTTGAAGCCCGTTCGGACCTTGTTCGGACCTTGTTTGGAGCCGGTTCGGACTTGTTCGGACCATGTTTGGAGCCGGTTCGGACCTTTTATATGTGCAAGGACCTCAGGGGCCGCCCAGTAACTGGCGGCGCAGTCGTACTGTACTAGTGTGTCGCTATTTCTTATCAACTAAATCTGACAAATCCAGAAAAAAGTCGCTGCAAAGCGCCTTTTCCTACTATCTAAGTCTCCCAGACAATAAATAGTGCCAAACCGATGTCTATGCGAGTCAATATTGACAATTTTGTGCTCGGAGCTCATGTGACGAGGTGGCCGAGTGGTTAAGGCGATGGACTGCTAATCCATTGTGCTCTGCACGCGTGGGTTCGAATCCCATCCTCGTCGAATTTATTTGACTTTTTTTATTTTTATTTTCGGTTCTAACCAAACGTACTTTAATTTCTTTATCCATCTCCTTCGGATTAAAAACAATAATAGGCTTCTAATCAAGTTTAAATTACTAAAGAGGACGATTGGGCAGGGGACGCAGCCACTGCGTTACCTCTGCATCACCATCAAATCTCACTCCAAACCTTGGGAGTGAGATTTTGAAACAGTTTGGACAGACAGCCCTTGTCAGGGTTACATTGAAAGGCTATGAGGATAGGTGCAGCTATAGGCTGTAGGTTTTGAGATAAACTGAAATAAAGTGGCATCATGTGAATTTTTTACAGCACAATAAATGTTACTCAACAACAATAAGTGATGTGAAATTCTTTCTACACAATATCCATTATTTTCTATGTTCAGAGAACTGATGTGAAGAATTATGGGCCCTACTAAAATACTTGCATCTTAAATATGCTGTAAACTAAGAATTTCACAGCTTTGTTTATTGATTATTCTACACAGTTTAAGTGAAATAAAAAATGGGGAACTAATAGATTATTACTGAATTACTAACACTAATACAGGAACCAGTGCAATCGTATCCTTTGCAAACTACTCTGTGTATAAATATTTGGTAATAGGCTAATGATTTAAAATCTTAAGTCACTATCTAATCAGTTTTTTTTACAGTTTATAAAACAGCAAAACAATTCAGATCTTCTAGGAGGCTGTAGATTCAATAAAAATCTAATTTTTATAGAGGTTTAATATTGAAAATGTGATTGAAATGATGTTTTCAAACATATAAACATATTAATTGGACCAAAATAAGGATAAATTAATAACATAAGTAATAATAAAAGGAGAACTTCCCTGTGGTTCCTCCTCTATCAAGCCTGGATTGGTTGGTATTTTCTAGGGTTGCTGATTTTTGTTTTTGTTTTTTTTTTGTTTTGAGGACCTTCTATTGGTTTGTGAGGCATACCTGGAAGCTTAAAGCATTTAGATTATTTGTTTGTTTAATTGGGAGTTGGATTATTCAACTATACTGAGCAAAAATTATTTAACTTGTTAGCAAAACATGGACTAAAACTGGGACTAAATCAGGTGGATGGAGAAAACAAACTATTTGATGTCAATTTGTCTCCACATTGATAATTGAATCTAGCTGCAGTACATTTTTTCAGGACACTGATATACTGCAAAACAAACTGCAATCTGTCACATGCATGATTTTTCCTCTGTACTTCATAGATCTGATAAAAGTCTGATAATCAAGAGGGTCGTCATTAAAGGTTGATATTTTCAATTTATAGCCTTGCACAAGCCGTGGAAAGCTGCCCCTTTAGCTAACTCTACGATCTGGGCTGTAGATGCTCTTATTGGCATTACTGAGGTTTTGTTTTCAAGCATGGATGTTGGTGAAACATGAAGTGGTGAAGATTGAGAGAGAGATTATATTTCTGTCTGTGTGTCCCTTTTTTACCCAGCAGGTGGCGGTACTTGTATTCCAAATTGGTGCTCCTCCATTCACTCTGAGAAGAATGAACCACACACAATTTTTTGTCAGACAAGTTCAAATGTCTTAGTAATTCCAGGTCCAAGTAAAATGACTAACATCGATAGAGTAACAAAAAAGGTGGAAGAAGACATGTATTTGACAAATAACACTATTTAAAAGTACTGATTAACACACAAATAATTAAAGTGCCATACCATTTATCAGTTGCAGAACCTGGAATAATAAATCAGCCATTGTATTCCACCTTTTGGTAAATCATCTACAGTGCTTCAACCTCAGTAACAATCAGCTGTTCCAGCATTAAAGCATTAGAACAATATAAAGATCATTGTTTCTGGATGAGAACAGAAATAAATATTTCACAATATAAACATGAAATAAAACAAGCAACAGATCAACGTCCTTATTACTAAAATACATTCCTTCAATAAAATCTTACACTTGATTGTTTTTGTTTTTTCTTTTTTTTTCTCGTTCTGAATCAAACGATCAACGTTATCATCAGAACCATCAGAGCTGCTGCTGTCAGTGGAATGAAGAGGAAGATCCTTCCTCGTCTCTCTGGTTCTGGAGTCAAAGTTGGTCTCTGAGTTTGGATCTGATCAGCAGCTGCTGGAGAGAAATCAGAAATATTTATTCATACTTGTTCACGTTCAAAGCAGGAGGCTTCTTCTAGAGCAGAGGTCACGGATTAGTGGACTGCGGTCCGGATCTGGACCCACCTGCTGGCTAATCCGGACACAACGTGATTTAAAACATTTATAAATTACTGCATGTTGTCCGACGACAGCGTATAACTTCACTTGTGCCGCTTTTCCTGTTAATACGGTAAAGCCCTCC